GTATTTGGCTGCATCAATTATGGCCAACAATGGACCTACAAGCTATTAAAAGTGCTTCTAAGTTAGATGTACTTTTTTTGGCATCGACTATTGCTAATTGCAATGAGTGTGCTACGCATCTTAAATGTTGCCAGGTATATCCATCAGGAACTTTTTTTAATGCTGCTACAAGGTTGGGCGCATTGGCAGTTATAAAATACATAGGTATATCTTTACAAAATKACMATTTTTCAATTAATCTTACTATAAGATTGTTTAGATTAGTTGCAGTATGTTGATCTTTGGAATGTTCGAGATATAGTGTAATGTGACGAAGTTTCCATTCTTCTGTGACATAATGGACTGTTCTTTATGTGTAACTTTCATTGGAACGAGAAGTCCATCCATCTGTTGTAAATGACAGAGATCTAACACTTTTACATTCATTAGTAATGATACTTCTAACATGATTTACAGCTTTTTCAAAAGCGTTTGGAATATGATTCTGAGAAAAATATTGCCTTGATGGAACAGTATACCTTGGTTCAGCTTTTCTCATAAGTTCTAAAAATGCAGGCTCTTGGACAATAGAATAAGCATGGCAACCTTGAATGATAAACCTTGATACACTATCATTAAGTGCCTTTACATTTGGATTTGTTTTTGCCCATGCTTGAGTTAGGTTTATAATTTGTGGCATTGTCGGTTGAGACATTTTAATTTTTTTAGAAGCATTTTCAGTTTTTATTAAGTCGCTCATATCATTAAACTTTTCAAATATTTTTTTATGTATTTTTAGATGATTTATCATAGATTTAGTTTGACTACATTTCCTTTTTATTTGCACTCCACACTCTAAACATTTACCTCTTTCAACACCAGACTCATCTTTGTCACCAAGTGTGAAAAACTTCCAAATTAAACCTTTTTGTCGTTTATTTACAAKAAGTATAGATGCATTTTCTGTTGACTGATTAAATACTGGATGCATATTATTAGTCGATGTTGATGCAACTGATGTATCTAATTCCTCATCAGACATATCAAAAGACACACTTTGAGGCGATATAGTGAACTAAAAATATTAAATAACAAATATTCAGTTATTCACAAAAATTGGTATGTCATATTGACATTTTTTAGAATATTACTGACAGAACTGTCGTTTTTATGAATCATTTATGTTGATYCATTTTTTATTATCTTAATATTTATTATTTTTTATTTACATTATATTTGGTATGTACTTCAGTTAAATATTCTTAGACATATTATTAATTTAATATTTTTAATAATTA